CTGCATCCTGGCCCATCCTCACCCTTCTACCCCCCAACCCTCACCTCCTTGTACCCCCAATATGTTTTTCCCAATAAAAAAATATTATAAAAAAAATAAAACAAGGGAAGGAGAAATAGTGAGAGGTGCCACTGATTTGGGTTTAAATTTTACCTGTAAATTCTGGCATCTAAGAACACAATTTTTTCTGGGCCTCTTGAGATATCATGCTTTCCTCATACTGCTAGTCTTAACTTCCCATGTCCGAGACCTAACTTCTGTTTTTTGTTTTTTTTTTTTTAAACAGATGGAAGCTGAGTAGGAGAGGCACTGAAATCTAATAGAAAATGCAGTGGCCTGGCATTTTGGAGCCCTCCAGTGATCAAGGTCACTTACAATCCAATTGTAAAATGAGGAGTGTGGACAGGCTGGTGTTTGTCTTCAGAATCCAAGTAAGTCTCTTGTGGGTATAGTTTCTAAAGAACTTGAAAAATACTACTGCTTAATGAAAAAAAAATTAGCATAAAAAAGGTTACAAACACTCATGACCCAACCACCTACCTTTAACAACTATTAACATTTTACCTTGTTTGCTTCAGAAGTTGTTCTTAAAATAAATGGCACCTTCGGTATAAATTATTTAGCAATGTACTGTTTCCTCTCTTAATATTATTTCATTTGTGTTGATACACATGTTTTTGTGTGCTCTGGCATTCATCACTGACTATCTAGAGGGGTTTTAGAGGCTATAAATCACACAGGAGGAGATCGCCCATCTTCCCCACCCCCCTCTCTCTATATATATTTCAAATTTTCTTTTTAATTGAGATTTTAATGAAAGTTTGTAGAAAACTTGGATTTCCAGTCATTCATTGTTGCACATTTTCCTCTACATATTTTTTAACTGCATAATATTTTATATAGCAAATATACTACTTTTTTTTTCCATTTCTAAGCTGTTGGCTGGGGTTGGTGAGCAGTAGGGTAGAATGTTGATTCACAAAGGGCAGTGAGGTGATGTGATAAGGCCTCCTATTTAAAAACCCTTTTTGGTAGGCAGTATGTTGCTGGAGACCAGTTTGAAAGTCATCTGCAGGAGCTGGTTCTACAGAAGTTGTTGGCTGGGATTGATGAGCAGTAGGGTGGAATGTTGATTTGCTAAGGGAAGTGAGGCAATGTGATAAGGCTTCCTATTTAAAAACCCATTAAGGCCCTCAGACCTGGTTGAAACTGTTTTTTGTCAAACATTCTTCTAAATGGTATAACTCTGGTCTGTGTATTGCTGTACAGAGGTAATTCATGGTTGCTGTGATGCTAAACACTGTGACACACTGATGTGCCAAATGTGATAATGGTTACCCATGGAGGACAGTGTTTGGTGGAGTTTCCCAACTAAAACATGCTTGGAAGCAGGAGTGGCATCCACTTCCGAAATGGCTTGCCTCTGGAAACTGTATGAACAGTGCTCAGGTCTTTTCGTTCATAGGGTTGCTATGAGTCATCTACGACTCGATGGCACTTTACAACAACTTTTATTATTTTCTTATTATAATTTTCAAATAATAGCTGCCAGGGTATCTCTGTATAATACTTCTTTTTCTTAAATAAAATTTTTATTTGATACTGGTTTGCTTACAAAGTTCATATACATTGTTCTTCACACCAGATCTTTCCCATTCCCTTTACCCACCCCACCCTTCACCCATCAAATTGTGGGACCTGATGACTAACCCTCTGTCCACCACCCCCTGCCCATCCTTATACCTCTGCTTCCACCATTTCCACCTTAGATCCTCATACACGTTTTACTAATTATCTTTTTATTTCTACAATAATGGTCTTATACAGTATTTGTCCTTATGAGACTGAGTTAGTTCACTTAGCATAATGTTCTCCAGTCTCTCCCAAGTAATGTAGTAATTTTCAAAATCATTGTTTCTGCATCCTGAGTAGTATTCCATCATGTGAATGTACCACAATGTCTTAATCCATTCAATTGTGGTTGGACATTTGGGTTGTTTCCATATTCTTATGATTGTGAATAACGCTGCTATGAATATTGGTGTATAAATCTCCATTTGTGTCTCAGTTCTCATTTTCTCGGGGTAATATACTACGAATTAAGCAAAATCTATTTGCCTTTTGACAAGCACTTCAGCATCCCCCTCCCCTTTCTGCTACACCTTTCAGTAAAGAAATGACGCAGCAGACATTTATGTTCAAGCACTTCCTTGCTCATAACTCAGTATCTCTTGAAGAGGTCTATTTAGGAATAGAATTTAATAAAAGTTTTCTCCAAAGTATTTGCATTGATTTACTACTTCTACAAGTATTAGATGAGAATTCCAGGTTTTCTGCACTATCAATGCCCACAATGATTCAGAATCTCTGTCTTCTTTTCAAAGAAGACAAAGATCATAGCAGTTTAACTACTTAGGAACATCATCATCTTATTATTGTTGTCTAGGTTTTAATTTTCTCTCTTTTCAAAGCACAACATGAGATGCTAATTTTTTATCAGTGAATAAATCAAAACCAAACCAACTGCTATCAAGTCTATTCCAACTCATATTGACCTCACAGGACTGTGGAAATGTGCCACCAATGTTTCCTAGGCTGTCATCTGTATGGAAGCACACAATAGGTATGTTTTTCTCCCATGGATGGGCTGGTAGGTTTGAACTTCTCATCTTTTGGATTTCAGTTATGTATTACCCATGATACCAACAGGGCTTCTTTTTCAGCTAATAAGTAAAATGAAATTTCTTGATTCTATAAAAAAGGAGTGGATTAAAAAACTATAGTAAATTCACACAATGAAATACTACAATGCAGCACTGAAAACCAATGAACTTGTAAAACATTAGACACATGGGGGACACTGGAGGACATCATGCTGAGTGAAATATCTCAGTCATAAAAGGACAAATACTGCACAGCACCACTATTATAAAGCAGGTCTGACATGGGGGGTTGGGATAAGGATAGGATAAGAGTGGATAGATGTTGAACATTTCATTGGAACAGATGAAGGAAAGAATTGTCTAAAAGGAATATATGATTAGGCATTATACATATGACAACAGCCCAGAATAAGAGGTATATCACTGCAAAAAGGACTAGGGTGGGGAGGCAGGTAATAGTGCAATAATGAATAAATATTTTTAAAAAAGTGAACGTGGCGGGGGGAGGGAGAGAGGGTAAAATGTGCAGCAATCATTGAATGAAAATCTAACTTCTCTGTAAACATTTGTTAAAATCACAATTAAGATAAAATTTTACTTACAAATTAAATTTCTTGACGTATTTTTGGGCACTTTCTGTGCACATCATTTTTTTTTTTTCATCTTATATTCCTCATCTTCTGTTTGAATTTGGGAAATTCCTTATGTGCTAGGTCACCAGAGCTCTCCAAAATGGAGATTTGTGAGTGAAAATTATCTTAGTCTTTAAATGCTAGAAAAGGTCTTTATTTCATTCTATAATGGGAGTTTAGCTAGTCATTAAATTATAAGTTGACTATTTCTCTTAGCATTCTAAAGTTATTATTCCATTGATTTTTAACATTTATAGTTGATAATAGGAAATATAATGCTCTTTAATGAGTAATCTGCCCTTTTCTCTAGAAGTTTAAAAGAATTTTTGCTTTTATCCTTATTTATACAGTTCCACTAAAAGGTATGTAAGTAGAGATTTTTATTTCTCTTATATAGTACTGCACTGCAATCCTGAAGGCATGTGGTTCAAGGCCACCAGAGAAGGCTGGGCAATCTCCTCCTGTGTGATTAACTGCCTCTGAAAACCCACTGGAGGGTCAGCTATGGGTCAGTTCTGAATTGATAATAACAGAAAAGCAAAAGAAGTACTGTTAACATACTTCTGATCTGAGAATTTATGCTGTTCTTCAATGGCAGAAAACAAACCAAAACACCTTGTCATTTTTCCCTCTAGTACTGCATTCCTCCCCCATTCATTCCACCCCACCCCCACTTCCACTGGATGTATGGTGAATGCTGTACTTTATTCTTGTAAATATTTCTTGACTATATTAAATTATCTTTCTTCACGTAATGCCTTCTAGGTGGCTGGATCTTAAGTTTACTATGCTTTAATGGGTAATTATCTATACACATAGTGACAGCCACTGGGAATACCATACTAAGGCAGGTGCCCCAACCCTTGTAGACACTGTAACTTACTAGAGAAGACAGAACCTTAAGACACAGAATTTGAGTGTTGGAAGACAAAACAAAGAGCGCTACGTAAGTATTTAACAGGGTAATTTATAACACTTGGGCAGTTGAAGGTGATCTAACCTCCTCTTGTGAAATGGTCACTACTTCCTAACGACTCCTCTTGCCGAGGACAATGCCTGGCCATGGGGGTTTCTCACAAATGTTGCACAACCTATTGTGGTTTGCTAGTATTATGCTCCTTGAAGCAGTCTTTTTTGTTGCTTCTATGTGCTGAAATGATCAAAAAGGAAGGTCAAGAAATCTTAAAAACCTTCATTCTGTCTTAGAATCACCTGAGAACACGAGAACAGTTTATTAATCACTATCCTGGAGAGGGTTAAACCGAGCGGCTGGCAAGGATTCTGAGGCTTCGTCTGACATACTTCGGACATGTTGTAAGGAGAGACTGGTCCTTAGAGAGGGACATCATGCTTGGGAGGGTGGAGGGACAGCACAGGAGAGGAAGACCTTCTATGAGGTGGATTGATTCAGTGACTGGGGTAATCGGGATGGGTGTATCAGAGACAGTGCGATTGGCACAGGACAGAGCAGAGTTTAGGGCTGTTGTACATAGGGTCGCTATGAGTCGCAAGCAACTCGACGGCACGTAACAACAACAACAACAACAACAACAACAACCACCTTGTTGCTCTGTATGTTACCTATGCTCGTCTTGTTGTTTTTGTTAAGTGCCGTCGAGTTAGGCAACTCAGAGCGACCCTATGAACGAAAATCCTCAACACTTGTGAGACTTTCATCCTTTCTCCAGGTTCATAGGGTTTCTGGAGGCAAGCTATTACGGAAGTGGATGCCGCTCCTGCTTCCAAGCTTGTTTTAATCGGGGAGAGCCACCCAACACTGTGAAGCTGAACACTGTGACATTGATGAGTCAAAAGCGATACTGGTTACCCATGGTTGACAGTGTTTGGTGGAGCTCCCGATTAAAACAAGCTTGGAAGCAGGAGTGGCATCCACTTCCGTAATAGCTTGCCTCCAGAAAATCTATAAACAGTGCTCAGGGCTCTTCATTCATGGGGTTGCTATGAGTCGTCTATGACTCGACGACACTTAACAACAAAATCTGGTTAAAATAATATCACTGTTGCTGAGTTGGAAACAATTCATAGCTGACCCCACAGTGGGTTTTCCGGGTCTGTAAATTGCAGGAGAGGAGACTGTCCATTCTTCTCCTGTGGCTTCGAACTGCTAATTTTTTAGTTGTTGGTACAACTCACTATTCACTAGGCTAATCCTAATACAAATTAGTCTGCATAATATGGAATAATTAAGGGGGGGAACCTCCACAATTGAATATTAATAACAAAAGTACAGGAAGGAGACTAAAATTAGCCCAAGTTTGATAAGGGTAAGATTATGGTCGTGATGCAAAAGAATCACTTTTTCTCCCTCCTTAAAAATCAATCAGTCAATCAATCAAGCAATCAATCCACTGCTGTTGAGACGATCCTGAATCATAAAAACCCTCCCCTGGGTTTTGGAGACAGTATAGTTTTACTAGAGGAGACTGACCATCTTTCTCCTGCACATCAGCTGGCAGACTTGAACTGCTGACCTTTTAGTTAGCAGCCTGATACATTACACCCTAAGCCATACGGTGCTTACTTTAGGACTGGCTCCTTCCCTTTTCTCCAAATCCCAGTAAATGAGATAAAAACCAAACAAAAAAACAACCAAACCCCCTCAAAACAAACAACCCTGTTTTCACTGTGCTCAGTAATTCCCAGGTGCTCCAACTGCTGAGGTTAATTTTGCCTCTTTTATCCACTCACAGAAAAGTGTTTGGTTTCTCATGGAGCAACCAACACCTTTCGTCCTTACCTCATTTTCTTTCTTTCTTTCTTTTTTTTACTTGTGAATATTTAATACAATGTAGTGAATTGGTTCAATTTTTTTTTCACCCATCAAATAATTTGCTTCCAGGTGTGAACAGCATCTGTCTCACTCCCGACCCCACAGAACTTCGCTGTGAAATCAAATCTTTAAAAATTCAGTCCGTACCTCACTTTCATTGCAGCAAAACACATCAGAGAGGGCGTAGAACCGGGGATCCAGGTCAGCAATGGCAGGGGCTGGGTTGAACAATGTTTTCACTACAAAGGAATGACATCGGGTTCATTGCTCATCAATTCTGATCATGCACCGACAGATACCCAGAAGGGAAATCCTCAAGAAGGATCATTTTTGTTATATTTTTTCATAAGATTAAAAATCAAATTAGTTACAGATGCTGGTAAGGCTGAAATTTCAAAACTCCACCACAGCCTAAATACCAGTCCTTTCTTATGTCCACTCATTCTATTTTTCCCTTTATAACATTTTAGCGTCAAGGGTAAGCATCAGTATTTACAACTTAGGTGATTACCAAGCTCAGGCAAAGGCAACTAGAACATTAAAGGAAAGGAGAAATGTTATGACACGAAAGGACCTGTAAGAATGTTAACAGGCTGGTGAGCATTTTTGCGGGTTAGATGAAGTGCTTACTTGGAAGGCTAGATCATAACTCTAATTTTCCCAGGGAAGAAAAAAAAAAGATGATAGAAATGAAATGGCAAAGGGCTTGGAATTCCCCTGGTAAGAGCAGTGAATAGGAAGTCCAAGTACATATAGATGTTTCGTGCACTTGATGTATCACACACAACTCATCATGTTAACATACACACACAAGATTACAAGGTTTCTTGGAGCAATTTGAAAACATAAAGACTGTGAAAGGAAGAGAGGAATTTAGTCAGAGCTGAGTGCTCACCCACAGAAACTTTTGAGAAGGATGCGTGGGGATAGCAGAAATAGGTAAATGAGAATGTTATAGCATCACAGTGACTGAGGGGGCGGAAAGCAAGTCTCAGAGAGATGAGCTCACATGCCAAAGGTCACACACTGAGCAGTGGGTAAGCTGGGTCCCTGCCTTGGTCTTCTGGCTTTATTAAAGTCTAGGGTTTGGCTCTCTCCACTAAAATGCCCTCTCTAGGCCAGAACTCTGTCCACAGAAACAACTGCAACTCACAATGTTTTGTTTGAAAGTCTAAGGAAATTACATTTACAGGAAGCTCCCCTTTGTCAGACATGTACTTCTCCACCATAGGACTCAACCAGACTGGCGAGCTTTCTTTCTTTTTCTTTTTTAAATTAATTTTCATGAAAGTTTACAGAGACTTAGGGTTTCCAGTCATTCATTGTTGCACTTTTCTCCCTACCCTCCCCCTTCCCCCCAATTCACTCTTCTCCTTGAAAAGAGAAAGAAAAACTCTTTCATTGTTATGCAATCCCTGACCCTGGAGGACATTAAGGTTCACACTGATAGTCTCTCCAGATGGCTTGCTCTCAATGAGCTTGGCACCGAACCTTCCATGTTCTTGGGTAGACGCTGGTTAACAGCAACTGTCTACAGCTTGGGTCTGCTCAGGCTACCAAGGCCTTACTCAACATTTGGATTTGGGCTGAGGTTCTTTTTCAGTGATGTATATGCTAACACCATTCCCACACTTTCATTTTAAGTTTCTTTATACAGAATGTCCTCCCACAGAAATTCTATGGTGTATTTTTGGCTGGTCAGACTTTTGTGCAGGGTTATTTGCAGCTTAAATTAGAAAACATGTAAAAATCTCCATGTAAACTGTAAAGTGTTGTACAAATGTCAAGGATTATTACTGTTATTATATTGTCCTCTACATACAGCCCAACAGCCCCCTGTCCACCCATCTCTCCTGTTTTCCGGTAGAGTTTGTAGCCTGGCAACAGTCTCTCCCATTGGTTCTTCTGCTTCTGCAAGGTCTCAGAGATGTCAGTTATGCATAAATGGCCTCACTGCCCAGTATTTTAACATGCCCACTGACTTTTTAACTTTTTAGAACAGATATACTTTCCTGTAGCATTAAATCAAAACACCATTGCTCATTTAGCATGATCTCAAATCTGCATTTTAGCCATGGTCAGAGCAAGTTACCATACAGAACAGCATAGCCTGCCTTTCATCTTATGAAAGCTCCATTTTATCTCAAAACTCTAGGATCTAGAAATTTCTTTTAAAAGCTATACTACAGAAATAACACAAGTTTGCAATGCTGATGTAAAGTGATGTTGATGCAACTTTATTTGCAACAGAAAAAGAAAAAATACGTAGATTTCTCTATTAACATCTATCAAAGAAGTGTGGTTAAAAATTATGACACTGGTGAGCTCTGGTGGCCTAGTGGCAAGAAGCTGCACTGCAATCCCAGAGGTGCGCAGTTCAAATCCACCAGATGCTCTGCTGGAGAAGGAGGAACAATCTCCTCCTGTATCTGTCAGATCCGATTTCACGGTACACACACATAATAAATAATAATAATAATAATAATAATGTCATAAATATCTAATGGATGCTCAGAGTTGTTACACAATGTGATACACATTTATGCTTTGTCAGACAAATATTTCCAGAATTAGTAGATGTAAAAGTCAGCTTTGTAATGTATGATTCCCCTCTCTTTTAAACAAAGTATGAGTATATTTACATTTATATACTTGTATGTGAAGAGGAAAAATATCTGAGAGGTTACGCCCTAATCTGACAGGTTAGTTTTGGGGGAGAGAATAAGGGAGGTACATTTTTCCTTTATTATATAGGCTTCTTAATTTTTTTTTAAAAGCACATGTTTTAACTTTTTATTTTAAAACAGAGCCAAGTTCCAGGCTTTGGAGGACTCTGAGAAAGGCTTTCTCTTTTCACCACCATCTCATCAATGCACTGAGACCTTAGCTCTGGGCAGTGATTCAATTCGACATGCTTGAGTATATGGTACGTCATCATATGAAAATAAAAAACATTTGCTTTATTTTCTGCCTTCCATCTGGCTTTTCGTTAGCACCTGAAGTGTGGTGACTCAGCTTTCAAAAATACTATCCCTTTGTTAGCTGGTGCAGTGGACTTTAGCTTTTCTGTGCCCAGTATTCCACCTTTCCAGGAACCACCCCATGTTACTCTGCCTCGGTAACAGGAACTGTAACATGACCTGCCGCTGGCCTGGCCCACTCCAGCATCCCACTTCCTCAGCAACTACAGCTGTTCCTAAGCACATGCATAAGGTTCAAGCAGAGCGCACCACCAGGATATACAGGTGGTGGAACAGAGGGTGCTGTCTGAATGGGAGGATGTGGGTCTGGGCTGCTGGTGCCCACGAGGCTCTGTTTGCAGAGAAGTCCTCTGCAGCATGAAGCAAGGCTCAGAGAAGTAACAAGGAACCAGTGCAGAATCCTGGGAATGTCAGCCCTGATTTCAAACTACCTCACCCTTTGTGTCTCTAGAACTTGCCTTCATTTCTGCCACCGACACTGAGACTTATCCCACCTATGTGAGCCAAGACATTCATTTCTTTAATTCTAGTTTTTAAATGTCTTTAATTTTTTAAAAATAATTTTAAAAAAAGACATTTACTGATGTGCTGAGTCTTGGCCAAACCTCAGGGTAGACTATGGTGACAGAAAAAACATGGCCCCTCCCTTTGTGGAGTGTACATGGGAAAGGCAGATATTTGTTAAATAATTCTGTAATAAGTGTATAATTAACTAATAGTTCAGAGCCCCGAGGATGTAGCATATGAGAAATACGCTAAAGGGTCAGGAGGCATTAAACGGATAAGGTGAAGGAAATGGGAATTGGTATAGCAGCCAGACAGGGTTGAGAAATGATTCAGACATAGGAATAAAAGAAGTGTAGGCAAATATCTCAGGCATTTTTTTAATTCTTAAGCTGGGTTGATTTGAGTTTCTGCCATTTGTTACTAGGGGGTAAAAATCCTGATTAATAGTAAGGTCTGGTGGCACAGTCCACCGCATAATGTATTGCTCACCCAAAGGCCTCAAGTCTCCACATGAGAAAGATGAGAAGTCTCCTTGCATCTCCAAGATTTACAGCCTGGAAACCCAGTGGAGCATCACAATGAATTCAACTGACTGGATGGAAGTGAGTCTCCATTTCCAGCTGAAGGCAGCTTTGAGGATAACTCTCTCCACCTCCTTCATCAAACTCCTGCCCCTTGTTACTTCTGACTCTCCAGACATTCTTTTATTCACCAAGTATTTAATGAGCTCAAACTACATGTCAGGTGCTGATCCAGGCACTGGAGACAGAATCCTTCACCCTATGCAACTTCTCAAACACAGCTAAGTGCTACTAAACCAAACACTCAAAGTAATTCAGTTAGGCTGGGGTGATGGCTGCTCTGGACAGTGGTCAAGGAAAACTTCCCGGAGTAGAAGACAACTGAGTGGAGACCCGAATGAAAGGAAAGAGGCAGCCAGGCAAAGATGTGATGATCTCCCTCAACGCTACTGGCTTTAATACAGAACAAGACTAAAAATCAACTCGCTGCTTTCAATGCATTTTTTGCATGGTCTTCAAAACGACTCAGGGCATTATTGTTGTTCGGTGTTGTCAAGTATGATTCATAGCAACCCTATCCTGTGCCATCCTCATCATTTCTAACGTACTTGAATCCATTGCTGCAGTCACTGTGTCAGGCTAGCTCATTGAGGGTTTTATCTTTTGCCTACATGACACCTTTCTAAGCATGATGTCCCTTTCCAAGGATAACTGGTGACTGGACTGCAAAAGTTGGAAACAATGAAGAAGGAATGGTATTTGGAAAGGATGGACTTGATGACAGAAGTGAGACTGGACCTTGATAACCAGAACCCACTGCAGTCGGGAGGTTCTGACTTACGGTGACTCCGCTCCCCCACTGGATTTCTGAGGTTGTAGATCTTTCCAGGAGCAATCTGCTCCTCTTTCTCCCCAGAAGTGGTCGGTGAACTCAAACTACTGACGTCTCAGTACATTATGCACTACACTGCCAGGGAACAGATGCGGGAACTGGAGTAGAGAGATTTGGGCTGGTTATGGGAGTGGCCCTTAGATTACAGATGGACTGTCCTGTGGAAGAGAGCCTGTAGTCACTAAATTTTATACACAGATTACAGGAATGAAAAATTCCATAATTTGACCTTACCATAAAAATAGCATAAACATGAATAATATCTTACTTGCTTATATTTGACCCCAAGTGGAAGCATTTTTATTATGAAAACACATGACACACTGCCTACTTGTGGG